TGGATTTTGTCTCGGTGGTGAATTATTTATTTGTGTTGCTAAGGCTCATCTACCCTCTTAAGTCAAATGCTGACACAGATCCTGGCTACCGTTGGCTATGAAGGAACCGGTTCCTAAATCCCTTCCTAACAGAAAAGACTGGTGTGGTGTTTACATGTTAGACCACGAAAAGGAGTGGTTCTTCCGGTTATTAAACCAGTCTGACAGTTGGATGGGAACTGGATGAAACTTAACATCACATTTATGTTTCAAGGGAAACATATAGAAGGCCCTGGTGGACAGCTGTAAGTATTTTTAATACAATTAATGCAGCAAGAATAATCTTGGTTGCTTTTTTCCATTATTAATTTCTAAATTCCATATTCTCTCACATTTACATATCTTTCCATACCTATTTTTGTCTTTACATCTTTACAAACATAATTGTATGACAACACTTCTCCTTTCAAACCTTAACTCATTTTCATTCATTCCGTTAAAAAAAAAAAAACACCTTTGTACATTTAGGTAAGTCCTGTTTTCACTCTATATTCTTTTCCAATCCTTCCTAACCACAATAATTCATTGAAATTCACAGCCTTTAAATGTAAAATCTTACAATATTAATAAAACTGTTTTTGCAAGTTTTGTACAAAAAATATATTTTGCAAGTTCTTTCAATTACTGATGTAATGTAGCATAGTATCTAATCTGTTTCTATATCTTCAAAATCTATTTCGGGGTAATTTATTAGATTGTGGCCATTAGATTCAAACTTCATTCTACTATCACACTTTAATTCTCACATTATTATTCGACACTGAAATAAAAACCAGTTAAGTCTTTTTAAAACCCACTTCCATTTTTTTCCTCTTAACTAGTTGCAGTTTGCAAATCATAACACAGGATGGCAGCATAGGTGGGAGCCTGAACAACTGATACCTACACAGGGAGAATGATAGATGCTTCTCCATTCCTGGATTTATATCTAGGAGATATTTGAACCATTGGCTTGCTGTGATGGAAGAAGAAGAGATTGTAGGTGTATGTGCCTTCAAGTCGCCTGTTGACTTATGGTGACTCCATGAATTTGCTAGGGTTTTCTTAGGCAAGAAATAGAGGTGGCTTTCCCAGTTCCTTCCTTTGAAAGATAGTTTACAGCACCTGAAGATGAGGGTGAAATACCATTTGAAGGTATTTCTTGGAACTTAGTCCCTCTCCACTCCTGCTGAACTGGATGGGACCCCTTGAGTTGTTGTTGCTAACTGTCCTTGAGACGATCTTGACTCATGGCGACCCTGTGGATGGACATCTCCAAGATCTCCTGTCCTCCACTTTGTTGTTGTTGTTAACTGCCTTTGCATCAGTCTGGACCCATGGCAGTGACCCTATGGAAGAGACATCTCCAGGCCCCCATCCTCTACTGCTCTGCCCAGCTCCTGCAAACTCATATTCATGGTCTCTTTAATAAAGTCCATTCATCCAACATCTGGCCTTCCTCTCTGTCTATTTCCCTCCACCTTTCCTAACATTATTGTCTTTTCCTGCGATTCATGCCTTGTCATGATGTGTCCAAAGTACGACAATCTAAGTCTTGTCATCTTGGCTTGTAGGGATCTCTCTGGCTTCATCTGCTCTAGGACCCATTGGTTTGTCCTTTTAGCTGTCCATGGGATCCTCAGCCCTCTTCTCCAGCACCACATTCTCTCAAATGTGTTGATTTTCCTCTTATCTTCTTTCTTGACTGTCCAGCTCTCATATCCATCCATGGGAATAGGGTTCTGACTTTTGTGCTGAGTTGTATATCTTTGCATTTTAAGATCTTTTCTATTTCTGTCATAGCCATCCTCCCCATTCTTAGTCTTCTTCTGATTCCTAACTACAGTCCCCATTTTGATCCCAGGTATAGGAATTCTTTTACTATTTCTATTTCTTCATTGTCTAGGTTGAACTTGATATGCTCCTCCATGGTCATTATTTTTGTTTTCTTTGGACTTTCTTCTTGGACTTTCCTCAGTAGTGACCCCTTGAGACCACATTTTAATCTAAAAACTAACCTTGCTGCCACCACCCCATGAATAACCTATTACACCTTAGCAATGCAGTGGGACATTGCCAGGGATTCCTGGTATTTGCAAACCTAGTGAGGAACTAACCAAGCTAAGGCGTGTGAAGAGGAGTGCAGAGAGGCAGAGTACTTTAAAGAAAAGCTTTACTCTAACTAGAGCAAAAGGATATCACTACATTTATTGGTGGTCTCCCATCCAAGTGTTAACAAGGGCTGACCCTTACTTAGCTTCCAAGATCAGACCAGAACTGTTGCCAGTTAGCCACAAAAGGAGCATTTCAAGAGAAGTCAAGGTTTGTCAGGAATAAATTTTTACATTTCACATGATTCCTCCTTTTCCTATTTTCTCAGTGACTTGCGGTAGATTAGCAAATGCTGTTGATGCCTGTCATTTAATAACAGCAGGATGAAAATTATTCTTCTCCCATACATAACTGAGATGGGGGGTGGGGGGAGGAGGACCATAGAATCATAGAGTTGGGAAAGATCCCAAGGGTCATCCAGTCCAACCCCCTTCTGCCATGCAGGAACTCACAATCAAAGCTCTCCCGACAGATGGCCATCCAGCCCCTGTTTAAAGATCTCCAAAGAAGGAGACTCCATCAAGCTCCAAGGGAGAGCCTTCTACTGTCAAACAGCTCTTACTGTCAGGAGGTTCTTCCTAATGTTTAGATGGAATCTCTTTTCCTAGAACTTGCATCTGTTGTTCCAGGTCCTGTTCTTTGGAGCAGCAGAAAACAAGCTTGCTCCATCCTCAACATGACATCCTTTCAAATACTTAAACAGGGCTATCATATCACCTCTTAACCGTCTCTTCTCCTGGCTAAACATACCCAGCTCCCTAAATCTCTCATAAGGCAAGGTTTCCAGACTCTTCACCATTTCGGTCACCCTCCTCTGGACACGCTCCAGAAGGTTGGAGTAACCGGGATTTTTTCATGGAAGGCCTGTGAGTTTTCTCTCTCTCTCATCTCTGGTACTCTTAAAACAAATCCCAGAGCTTTTTGGCTCTGACCCCATCCTTCCCTCCTCCTGCCTTCTCATGTGGGAACCTGTCCTTTCCTGGGATCAGAGGGGAGTAAACATTACTGAATATTTTTTCCATCTGTTTGTTCAGTGCTGCAAGCTTGGATTGCTTTCCTGGCTTGGCTTTATCAATGCCACTCAGGACCATTGCCACGGTCAAACACCTGTTTCTCTGACTCTCAGAGGTTGGCACAGCTTGGAATTCGGTTCCTCTCTCTGGACCCCATTTTTCCTATTTTTCTTTACCCTCCCCTACAGCTACATTTTCAGAGACTTCCATTCTTCCTTCTTACCAGGACTTCTTCATGCCTGCTGCATTGCCAAGAGCACTTCTGGACTCCTCTGTCGTCTCATCTTACCTTTGGAGCACCTTTGGAGAAGCAGGTAAGTCAGGACAATAAAGTCAGGATGGAGAAGTAACCAAGGTCAGGGTTTATTTGGGGTGGGATGTTATCCAGGGAAGACAGAGAGAGCAGAGCCCTTGTTTGAGCCTCAACTTAAAACAGGATACAGAAAAGACATCATTTCCCTTTCCCTGTTGTAAACCAATATCTAAAGTCCACTGATTTAGTAGCTCTTACTGTCGATAACCAGCGTGGCTTAGCAGTTTGAGTGTTGGACTACAACTCTGGAGACCAGGGTTCAATTCCCAGATTGGCCATGAAACCCACTAGGTGACCATGGGCAAGTCACACTCTCTCAGCCTCAGGGGAAGGCAAAGGCAAACCTCCTCTGAACAAATCCTGCCAAGAAAACCCTAGGGTAGATTCACCTTAGAGTCGCCATAAGTCGGAAACGACTTGGAGGCACGCAACAAACTGTAGTTGGGACTAACTATAGGGTTTTACCTCTTGCCGATAGCGCACTTTTCTCCTATTTATGCACGCACATGAACAATAAATTTGTTTTCGACCGGTGTGCCCTCAACCATTTCACACAAGTACATCTGAAGTTGCTGATCTGTGTTTTAAACAGTCATAGCACATGATCAGACAACTATGTTTTCTTTTTTTCCAGTCTAATGTATCATTAACCAAAAGAACAAATTAGTGTCGCAGCTTTCGGAATCGGTAGAAGACAGGTTATTCTAATGAATCAGGCACATCAAAGTTAGAGAAAAGTTTGAAGGCAAAGAACTTGGATAAAGTAGTAAAGGTGATACAGGTGTGTCCCTGTTTTTAGGTACGTATTTTACAGTAGTACATTTAGGGAATTCAGCAGGGCATTTGTGGGGCTCCAATGAATTCTCCCACCGAAGTTGGGGCATAAAATCATTGAATTGTAGAGTTGGAAGGGGCCTCAAAGACCAACCCTCTCTTATGCAGGAATACACTACTAAATCACTCCTAAAAGATGTCCATCCAACCTTTGTTGTGGCACTCTGAGAACCTTTGTGGCTGAAAAGGAAGGTATAAATACTCCAAATAAAGAAATAAATAGTTTCAAGATCTCTCATGAAGAATCCATCACACGTGGAGGCAGTCTATTCCACTGTCGAACAGTTCTTATGGCAAAGAAGATCTTCCTAATTTTCAGGTGGCATCTCTTTTCTTAGAATTTAAATCCATTGGTTTGTGTCCCAGGGGGCACACCACTTTGAGTGAAGTTTGACACCACTTTATATGCTGTAGCTTGAATCTATTGTTCTGGGTCCTTTTCTCTGGAGCAGCAGAAAACAAGCTTGCTCCATTCTCAATATAACTTCCCTTCTAATATTTAAACAGGGCTATCATATTCCATCTTAATCGTCTCTTCTCCAGGCTAAATATTCCCAGCTCCTTAAGTTGTTCCTCGTAGGGCTTTATGGTTTCCAGACCCTTCACCATTTTAGTCTCCCTCCTTTGGACACGCTCCAGTTTTTCAGCATCCTTCTTGAATTGTGGTACCCAGAACTGGACACAGTATTATTCCAGGTGAGGCCTGACAAAAGCAGAATACAGTGGCACTATTTCTTCCCTTGATCTACACACTATACTTCTATTGATGCAGCCTAGAATTGCATTGGCTTTTTTAGCTGCCGCATCACACTGTTGACTCATGTTCAGTCCTTCAGTGCCCTGCTCACCATAACAGCAGGACTCCTTCATCCAGTATGACTGCTTAGCTTTTAAGATGGGTTTTGGGGGCTTCTGTAGTCATGGCAATGGTGCCATGATAGTAAATGTGAGTTAGCCGAGTGGAAACTATTCTTGCACTTTGAACTCTGTTTGCAGCAAGTGAAATAAACTGAGGACAAAGGAAGGAGGAGAGGAAAACTGGGACATTTTCAAAGCCGCTGAAAAAGTGGGATGGCAGAGTATTAATCAGGACTATCCCTGTCAAATTGGATCCTGGTTCCATGACACCTTTGGCTGTGGATGCTACAGAGGCATCATAGAAAATGTGAGGGTTTCTTTTTTTTTAGGTTATTATTTCTGGTTGTTGACAAGGGATTTGAAGGAGCAGCAGGTGGGTCGATTTACAGAGATGATTCACTTTCTTCTCTGAATCTTTTTTGTTTGCCTGTGAGAAGAGGCTCTGTTCCTAAGAGAAGAAGAGGGAGCTTTGTTTGAAAGGACTTTGGGGAGGGGAAAACTCCAAAAGTGCTGGGTTACCTACAGGAATGCAGCTGGCACAGGTTGGCTGTCTGATACCAGGCGCCTCGGCAGACAGAGAAAAAAGCAGAGGATGAAGGCTGAGGAGGCCTTTAAGGCAACGGAAGACTTAGGAGGACAGACTTTCTCTAGACAGAGAAAATCCGCAAAAGGGAAAGAAAGAAAGAGCACATCCAGGCGTCCTACTCCGGCGAAGAACTCAAAGGCAAGATCCTAGTTTTACTCTGAAAAAAGTAAGCAAACAGAAATAGCATCTCTGTGTGATTTGTTGTTGTGAAAAAGTTTAACCTTCCTCCCAAGATCCTATGCACAACTTCTTGCCATGTTCAAAGATATAGCCGTGTTAGTCTGTGCAGGATCAGTATGTAGAAAGATCTTGTAGCACCTCTGAGACTAAGTGAAAGAAAGAAGTTGGCAGCCTGAGCTTTCCTAGACTTCAGCCTACTTCCTCAGATGCATTTGGTGAAGTGGAAAGCCAGGGACAGACCTTTATATATCATTTTGAATTTGGATTAACATTCTCACATACTAATGGCATATAAAGGTCTGTCCCTGGCTTTCCACTCCACCAAATGCATGTGAAGAAGTAGACTTAAGTCTAGGAAAGCTCATGCTGCCAACTTCTTTCTTTCAGTTAGTCTCAAAGGGGCTACAAGATCTCTTTACATTCTGATTCTACAGACTAACATGACTATATCTTTGCATTATTATTATGTCTATTAAAATGAATATGAAAAGGTAGACATAAGTCTAGGAAAGCTCATGCTGCCAATTTCTTTCTTTCAGTTAGTCTCAAAGATGCTACAAGATCTCTTTATGTTCTGTTTCTACAGACTAACACAGCTATATCTTTGCATTATTATTATTAAAATGCATATGAAAAGCTAGATTGAGGTCTAGGAAAGCTCATGCTGCCAACTTCTTTCTTTCAGTTAGTCTCAAAGGTGCTACAAGATCTCTCTACACTCTTTTTTATTTTACAAAGAAAATCATTTGGAAGAGGATCTAAGACATTGCTATAAAGGGAGTGACGCCACTGGACCCAAGTCATATGGGACTTTAAAAGTGATAATCAGCCCTTTGAATTTTGTCCCCAAACAGAGAAGCTCTGTGCTAAGCTGGTGGCTAAGAGACTGGGCTCTGATCTGAGATGTTTATGGTACCTTATGGTAATTGTGAACTTAGGACATCTCTCCTAAGTCCAGCCCTAACCCCACTCACCATTGCTTTGAGACACAAAAGTTTGTACGGATGGATGGGTGCTTGTCTGAACATCCCTACCTGTTGAATTTCCAATGCACCTAGTTTGACCATAGGGCTGAGTTATAGCTCTGGCCAGGAATAAAGTGAGGGCATTTCCCCCAAATAAAAATTTGACACCCTCCAACACAAGAAGATTATTAGCTGACTGAGACCATGGAACTCGCTGAAATGGACAAGTGGGCCATTTTCATCAGAAAGAAATCCTTGACAGATTTCAAAACAAAGAGTGGGAAATGATTGTTTCTTTTTTACAGTCATGTTGGTTAGATGCATTAGTTTTCGGTTTCGTAAATGAATTGGGATTGTTTATATGGCAGAAGCAAAAGGAGGAAGCATATGCACTTCCTAGAAAAGAGGCACAAACTTCAATTTATGAATATACAAAGCTGTCTGATATTAGGAGCAAGGGGGAAGGCAGATTTCTGCAGCACAGGATTTATGGACATTTCCTTTCCCCACATTGCTTTCCTCCTGCTTTTGTTTAAAGGAACAAGAGTGTTTAAAAGAAGTGTAGATTTTAAGGCATTCAAAGTCATGGCGTAGTGATTCAAGTGTTGGACTAGGGACTCTGGAGACCAGGGTTCGATTCCCAGATCGGCCATGAAACCCACTGGGTGACCTTGGGCAAGTCACACACTCTCAGCCTCAGGGGAAGGCAAAGCCAAACCTCCTCTGAGCAAATCTTGCCAAGAAAACCCCATGATAGGATCATAGGTTTTAGGATCGCCATAAATTGGAAATGACTTGAAGGCACACAACACACACACATACAGAGGGATGGCCCATTGAAATAACTGCTGTATGGAGAGTCAACACGTAAGCAAATCCAGTTTATTCAGTGAGTCTAGAATAATAATAATAATAGTAATAATAAAATTTATTTATACCCTGTCCCTCTGTTAAAACAATCGGGGCGGCTTACAACAGTTAAAAATACATCAATACAATCTAAAAATCCCAACCCCCAAGGGCCATTCAGTCCAACCCCCTGCCATGCAGGAATACACAGAAATTGGCTCCTTTCACACTACAAAGTTATAGCACTTCAATCCCACTTTCACTGCCTTTGCTCCATCCTATGAATCATAGACTCCTAGAGTTGGAAGAGACCCCAAGGGCCATCCAGTCCAACCCTATCTGCCATGCAGGAACTCTCACTCAAAGCATACCTGACAGATGGCCATCCAGCCTCTGTTTGAAAACCTCCAAAGAAGGAGACTCCGCTAGCCTCCGATGCAGCATCTTCCACTGTCAAACAGCTCTTACTGTCAGAAAGTTCTTCCTAATGTTTAGGTGGAATCTCTTTTTCTGTACTTTGCATCCATTGCTCCATGTCTTTGTCTCTGGAGCAGCAGAAAACAAGCTTGCTCCATCCTCAACATGAGATCCCTTCAAATATTCTACTCTAGTCGGAACTTGCAATAGGATTTTGGCTCATATGCACCACCAGCAACATGGGGAGGCACCAGTCTCTGATGGTCTTGGAACATTTGTTCTCATGGCGCCATTGATAATCCAGCCTTGCCTGTGGGCATCTTGGTGTCTCCTTCCTCCTCAACAGTATAAGGTTATTTCAGGTGAATTCTCCCGATGCCACTGGGACCCAGCCATCGTGACGGCTTTAGAAACCACAAGGGAAAGATCAGATTTGATGTTTTAAAAAATTCTTCTTTGCCTCTGAGCACATAGGGGACAATTATTAACACCAAGCAATACTAATCTGCATCCAGGGCATGACCGTGAATTTCCAGGTAGAAGGAAAAAGAGATTATGTTGGCGTCTAGCCCTTGTCAGCTGCTCTCA